ACATGTAGAAAAATCCTGGTCTTAGGTATATAAAGCCAGTAAAAAATATATCAATATTCACTTAAAGCCAGTAAAAAAAAATATATCAATATTCACTCATCAGGGCCTCTATGCTTTTGATGACCTTACAACTGTTACATTTTATACAACAAAAATAGTAAGTAATACCTAAGATAGACGGAAAAGAACAAATAATTTAGTAAACATGAGTTACTTCCCCTTAAAATAGAGAAAACATGAAACCCAAAAGAACACCATAAACAGCAAAATTATGAAATGTTGCAGGCTCAGTTTTATTAAGCCATGCAAATTAATGGTGAAGTATTCATAAAAAAATGGCCATAAGCAGTAATTGCAGAAAATCGGATAGCTTTCAACATCCGGATGCTGGTACACTTTGTAAAAAACAACCATTCTGTATAACAGATAAACGTAATATGAATGAAATCAATAGGATAATCGTTTATAACAGTCCATTACCTATCCTTATACTCATTTGCAGGTGAACTTTCTTCTTGTAAGAAAATTTTGAAAATATATAAATGAATGAATGAATGGATACGGCATCAATGTAGACCACAACGATATTCGAAATACGGGTTTTAGTATTGTCAATAAAACTAAGTGACAAGCTGTTAAATTGAGCTTGCAATTTCGTGAAAATAATATCACAATGCACATGCTTTTTACATAAAGTTATTAAATACAAATATAACAACATAGTTGTTTACTTGATTTTTACGAATCAACATAAAACTAATTAACACAACATGACAGTGACTGCTAATAATAACAGCTCCTTCCATAGGCCAAAATAAAAAGCATTCCATAAGAGACAACGCCGCTGACCGGCGTCGCCAATAACATATTACAACTTAACTTCGTATAAAGAGACATCTTTATGAATTCTACCTATCTAACATTTATTTGGTCAAGGTCAACAGGCCATATAGTAAATGTGCATAGACATAGGGACTTCATTCTATCTGTTTACATGCATCTTCATATATACTCATATCCCTCTTTGTTAAACTGAGAGAACTGGCTTCCATAACTTTATGTCACTTTTATTTTGATGTACGCTCAAGTTTCTTCAGCTAACAGAACTGTCATTTTTACATTTAAACGCACCCCTAGAAAAAAATTACGAAGCGAGTCGCTACTAGCTTTTTTAAAAGCAAACCTTGTATATTTTAAGGTAGTGGGAGATTCAGCTGTTCGAGGAACGCTAGCTGCCCTCCATGATGTGTCACGTGACCTCCCACAATGCCTGTCACCCTCTCATTGAAAACACAGCAGTATATTGATCCAGGTATGTAACAGAGTAAGTTAAAGTTAGTTAAACGGAAATGACGTAACAAACTGGGACGCGACCGCCTTTTTTGAATTTAAAAACCTCAGTAAGGACAAGCAAGCGTAGTATATTTTAAGAGACATTTTCCACATAACTAAAACCCTACCTTATAAATGTATCGTAAAGTGGGCAAAATGTTCGTTCACCTTTCATTGATTTTATGATTAACTGATAACATAAGATAATTTCTATATCTTCGTTGACATAAACTTCTCTTTTGCTTCCTGATATATTGCTGTCTGTCGGATAATAACCATATATATTTCTGGCCGTCTGCTGATACAGGCCGTCTGCATCTGTGCTATATTGGCCTCTGATCATCATTTATTCCAGCTGTTTCATCGTCTGATTCACGCATTTGAACAGAGTGCACAGTCTGGTCCGCACTCCGCCAGGATTTGTGTGTAATATCACACGTGTCTAGACGTCTAGGAGCTTGATTAAGCGATTGTTCGTGCCTGATCACAACCTGCTTATGTGATTTACAGTTTTCTGAGTGTTTTTCTCCAAGACAGCTGTCGGGTTATGTGGTCCTAAAACATTAATGCTGTCTTACTTTCTGACATGCAATATTTTTATGATAACACCGTTTGTTGTTTGATTCCCCTATTCTATTCTTTGATGGTGTGTCTCAAGTGTCGTCTGTGAAATATTGTTCACACTAAGTTGCCCGTATGTTGCTTCCTTTGTTTTCCTGAATAATATTTCGATATAATCAGTAAAATAAATAAATGTGGAAGAAGTAATAAAAGTAATAAAAAATTAACTGAAATTATTCATTAGTGAATTTTACATTTCTGTACCCTATATCACTTAATGTATTAGATGGTATTATTCTGTTGGGATGGTTTTCACGTCGCACGAACACAGTCTAGGCGACTTTCCAGTTTTACTTGTGGAGGAAGACCTCATGTGCCCATCCGTGCATTATTTCAGGCACAAACGGGCACCTAAGAACCACCGATGTTCCGTAAGCTAGCAGGATAGCTTCATCACATGAAAGAATCCAAAGTCTCTGTCGGGATTTAAACCTTTGATATTTATTTTAGAATAAAATATATCATATTGACCAATTCTTACGGAATTTATATAATTTAAAAAATATGCCGGAGAATGTCGGAGAATACCGATCTTACACGAACAATAAACCGGTACAATATTTAAATATTTACAGATGCCAACAAGATAGTGAGCAGTCTTCCAATTTTACATTCTGACTATAGTGCTCCAGACGAACATATAGTATTTCTGAGGAAATTCTTCCGATCCCACGATACTCAGACACTTATGAAGGTACCCTGTTGTTCTTTTTTGGGTAATGTTAACAAACCGAAATTCAAACAAACTGTAAAAACCTACGCAAACAAGTATTGTGAGAAAAAAAAACATAATATTTCTGTTACATGTATTGCTTTTAAATTACAAAACAAATGTAAAAGTGTAAGCAAACACTTGATATTTGTGTTATTGTTTCTGAATCAAAATACAGTACCACTGTACGCAATTACTTATGAAGACAAGCTATGATATTTGTGTTAATGTTTTTGAAATGCAACACAAATTTAAAACTGTACGCAAACACTTACAAAGAAAACCGATGATTTTTGTGTTATTGTTTTAAAAATACAACGCAAATGTAAAATTGTACGCAATCACTAATGAAGAAAACCCTAGGTAAAGTTGGTAGTGTTTTCAAATATTTTCAAAATTTGCTTTGGTTCGCGGGTTGCGCTTGTATTGTAGAATTCGTATCAAGATTTACATGTATCTTGTCTGCGGATGCTCTTACTTGTTTCGTCTATACATTAGTTTTCAAAGCTTGTTTGTTTTGTTTAGTTTTACGGCTAATGGACACATTTAGGTCATATGGCGCCGAATCAGGAAAAAAAAATCTTTTGGCTAACCTCAGGTGTCACAAACTTAAGCAACACCAGGGTCAAAACCATCTCACCTGCTGGAGAGACTATTGCTATTCGGACACATTTAATATCTTTATATTTATTTCAAATAAATGTACATGTATACGTTATCTTTTCTAGCCATTGTAATTATCTCAATACTTTTTAACAGATTTTTAGAAAACTATACATGGTGGAATGTAGAAGATTGAGTCCTCTAACTAGAGCAGTTGTTTCCATAGCTGCAACGGTGAGTATGATGACGTCACACAGAGGATATTGAATGAGTGTAGGTTCAATACTGAATTTATTGAACGAGTTGAATAAAATGATATTAGGTGAGCCTCAGTAATGAACCTACACGAACACAATATTTTATTATCACATACCCTAGGTAAAAATGTATGCACGGCCGTTCAATACCATTTTGACAGAGTCGTAACATCGGCATGGGTATGTGATAAGTTGTATAAATAAAATAAATAAATGAAAATAAAAAATAAATTAATTAATAAAAAAATAAGATAAATAACCTATTTAGAATCTTACCAGTTGCAACAACAACCAAAAACTTTTGTCTCCAAAAGGGGTGTTGCTCTGCAAAGGTTACACTGTGCATATTCTCCAATATTACGAGTGATAAAATACATCCCACAAATTTTATTTTGGGTTTCCCGGGTTTTCCTTTTTTTAATTATTTTTGGCAGGTCTTGGCAACTTTAAGAAGCATGTGGAAAATGTTTAACATTTTCCACAGATTTTATAAAAAAGATTTTTTCCCAAAAACCAAATTTTTCAGGAAAACCATTGTTCAAAATAGGGCCATAAACCTATGCGAAAAATTTTGTAAATTTTGGGGTGTAAAACATTTATTTTTTTTAATGCCTGAAAACAGGTCAAACATAAACGTTGGGTTTAAAAATCCCAGTCCGTATGTTGATTTTTTTGGGGCTTAGTAGTAGAAAAAGGATGTAAGAAAAGAAAAAATCCCATTATTTTGGGAAAAATTTTTATAAAACGGATTTTTTGAATTTAACTCACTACAGGGGTTGGGGGGAAAGTAGGCTACCCTAGACGCTGGCAGAAATCATGATCACAAAGTAGAAAAAATATCGCTTTTTTTCTTGGATTTTTACATGTTTCATTTATTATAGTTTATAAATCGGTGTGAAGAGATGAGTAAGATATCTTAAAGTGCATTTCGGCGGATGAAAAGGTGTGATTTTAGCATTTAATCATTTGATCGCCTAGTCCGGTTTATACCGGAATACGGTATTTAGTGTGGTGCTCCTCTATGGATCTTTATTTTTCATTTCCACGCATCTCTCTTAACCTTTTTTTCACGAGAAGTACTTCTTGCACGAAGAAGGTGATCAATATTGTCGAGTAACTTGTCGGCTTGTTCCTCCTTAATTCATTATTAGTGTCTTTGTACAGTGTCATCATTTAACTCCCTTATGACTAATTGAGTCTGTCTTTTCCTTCCTTCTTCATTCCTGGATAAGCGTTAACATGTCATGTAACAACTAGATCATTCAGAGAAGTATGGAGTTAATTTCTTGATAAAAAGTCAAATTCTTTTTTTTTCCTGTTCAAGAGCTGCGGACGCGAACGAGTTCTGTATGTTTTTTTTTTCATTTATGTGAGATTCATTACGCTGATATTCGTACTCTGTTAAGCTTATTTTTTTACTTTTGACACAAATCTTATTGGCATTTTCAATTACGTGATCAATTACGTCATTTCAGGCGTTGCTTTACTGCCATGACAAAATAGCATCACGTGACTTTAGTCCACAGCTAAGTGAAGAGTTTGATGCGCATAATGGAGACGAACAAACCGAACATGTTACTGTAATACAGTTTATAAAAACAAGCGAACCACTTGTGAGTATTCAATATCCGGGTTTCCTCCTTGTTTTAAAAGCATATTCTTTTGCAAAGGAAAAATGCAAAGTTACATTCACATTTAATTGGTCATTTAGTAAATCAGACATTATTTTCCGAATTATGCTTCTAAAACAGTTTTCAAACATCGAAGAATATGTTAAATATGTACTTCGAATATTTGTCCACATAATGTTAAATGTAATCATTTAAATATATGCATTCATTTCTTATTGAAAAAATTGACTTAGACTTTAAAGAAAATAAATTTCTAATTACCTCCGTTTATTAACATGAAATGTAAATTCGATAATAGCTTTACAATAATGCTTTTTGGAACTTGCAATATTGATCAATCTCCATTTGAGCATTATATTTATGATATAAAACCATAAAAAAAGTGTGTTACAGGATCTTTAAACATCCTCAAAAATCGCCTTCCAAGTTATCTTGATCGGCATGCAGCTATTCTGCCAACCACAGAGTCATCTCTCCTTTCAATTATTACTTAACCCAGATATTCTTTTTTTTTCTTCTTCCCAGGGTGCAACTTTACAATACAACGACGAGACGGGTTCTTTACAAATAGCAAGAATCATGGTCGGCGGGGCAGCAGATAGAAGTGGTTTGTCACTTTGTCTTAATTGATTAACAGAATTATAGAAAATAGTTGCATGTGGCGTTCCATACTGTTCAAGTAACCATTTCATCCAGACAAAATAGTAATACATAAAAATTATGTAAAAACATCAAAAATCTTTTCAATGTCCATAATTTATTATAGAACATGCAGGTTGTCGTAAAGTGGAGGTTTTAGTGAGGGAAATCTTTTGTTATAAACCGTAAAGTTACTTTTATAAAGCGAGTCATGCAATTAAATTGGGTATTTATATATTGGGTACTAATATTGTACTAATGTGGGAATAAGAAGGGTTAAAATAATAAATGTACTAAGTTCTTTATGATATTGTATATTTTAGGGTTGTTACATATTGGTGATGAAATTTTAGAAGTTGCTGGTAATAGTGTGCGAGATAAAACACCGGATGAAGTTGTACAAATGCTGGTGAGTTTTACCATATATGTTTTGTAAACAAAATATTTGATTCGAAAGTTCTAAATCAAAGCACTGCAGGCACTGGAAACAAATTTTGAAAAAAGTGTGATCCCTCGGAATCAATGGAAATAACAGTTGTTGAATATATTACAACAATATAAGAATTGCAGACTCTGTTTGATTGGAATTCAGCGATACATTTGAGTAATAAAAACATATGTCAGAGAGCAACTGTTAACAGTTAAATTTGATACTAAATTTTCGACGATATTTAATACAGTCATGTATTAAAGTCGCGGTGTTCCGATTAAAAAGTGTCTCGTTTTAACATGTAATGAATACTATTCTATTGTCATGTGAGGAACTTTGTACATTAACTAAAACCAGTTCCACATGCTTGCCTGGTTGAAATAAAGATACCATTATTTTTTTATATCATTTTTTCCCAACCATTTTCCTGTACAAATTGCTTTATTTTAAACTGATTATTTTAATGTAATTGAGGACATAAACACAAACATTAAATTTACATCACTGTAACAAGAAGGTTGTGATTAAATTTGATACGTTTCAAGATAAATGTAACCTTAAATTCATACTTGTGCTGGAACGAACATTTTCTTTCAATTGAAATCAAATGCAAATGTTCTTGAAAATGCCAAAACTCATTATCTGTTACACGGCGTCTAAGTCAGATTGTCTCATCATTTTAGATTTTAAACATTGGCCTTTCTTAAAGATTATTTTAAGACTCTATTTCTCTGAAATGGCACGTATGCTCATGGGTGTTATTTCTGCAGCAGACGATAGTAGCGTTCTTGCTTGTACAGTGTATATAAATCAAGTCGAACCGCGCATCTGATAATATTATCTGGATTTTATTGCTTTAAAGACATGTTAAAATATAAACCAAAAAGGCGTTCTTTATGCATATATAAATCACGACTAAGAGGTTAGTAATCATCATATTGGGGGAAATCTTAAGTTATTGCCGGTAATATAAGAAAGCATCTGACAATTCAATATTAAATACATGTTTGACAGACATCTATATGATATCATTATTTCATTGTTATATAAAAAAAACTCTGGTAAACAAAACCCAGAGCTTTCAGGATATATCCCGTGTGTATACATGATAAAATTTAGATTTGCAGTAGAATATTTATTTAAAAGATATCATCAGACAAAGCCTGAAAAATGATTTCATTTGAACATGTTTTTTGTTTGTTTGATTGTTTTTGGTGAGCTTTTAGGATCGATGATTGTCCGTCGTCCGTCGTCCGTCCGTTCACATTTTGTTGTTAACACTCTAGCGGTCGCATTTTTGCCTCAATCATCATCAAACTTGGACAGGATGCTTATCTAGTTGATAGCTCGGATGAGTTCGAACATGGGTCATCTTGGATGAAAAACTAGGTCACAAGAGCTAAAAATAGAAAAATCTTGTTAACATTCTAGAGGTCACATTTTTGCCTTTGCCCCAATCATCATCAAACTTGGTCAGGATGTTTATCTAGGTGATAGCTCAGATGAGTTCGAACATGGGTCATCTTGGATGAAAAACTAGGTCACAAGAGCTAAAAATAGAAAAACCTTGTTAACATTCTAGAGGTCACATTTTTGCCTCAATCATCATCAAACTTGGTCAGGATGTTTGTCTAGGTGATAGCTCAGATGAGTTCGAACATGGGTCATCTCGGATGAAAAAGTAGGTCACCGGAGCTAAAAATAGAAAAACCTTGTTAACACTCAAGCGGTCACATTTTTGCCTCAATCATCATCAAACTTGGTCAGGATGCTTATCTAGTTGATAGCTAGAATGAGTTCGAACATGGGTCATCTCAGATGAATAACTAGGTCACAAGAGCTAAAAATAGAAAAACCTTGTTAACACTCTAGCGGTCACAATTTTGCCTCAATCATTATCAAACTTGGGATGAGTTCGAACATGGGTCATCTCGGTTGAAAAAGTAGGTCACCGGAGCTAAAAATAGAAAAACTTGTTAACACTCTAGCGGTCACATTTTGGCATCAATCATCATCAAACTTTGTCAGGAAGCTTGTCTAGGTAATAGCTCGGATGAGTTCGAACATGGGTCATCTCTGATGAAAAAGTAGGTCACTGGAGCTAAAAATAGAAAAAAACCTTGTTAACACTCTAGCGGTCACATTTTTGCATCAATCATCATCAAACTTGGTCAAGATGCTTGTCTAGGTGATAGCTTGGATGAGTTCGACATGGGTCATCTCAGATGAAAAAGTTAGGTCACCCGGAGCTAAAAATAGAAAAACTTTGTTAACACACTAGCGGTCACATTTTTGCCTCAATCATCATCAAACTTGGTCAGGATGCTTGTCTAGGTGATAGCTGCATGAGTTCGAACATGGGTCATCTCAGATGAAAAACTAGGTCACCGGAGCTAAAAATAGAAAAAACCTTGTTAAACACTCCAGCGGTCACATTTTTGCCTCAATCATCATCAAACTTGGTCAGGATGCTTATCTATTTGATAGCTCGGATGAGTTCGAACATGGGTCATCTCGGATGAAAAAAGTAGGTCACCGGAGCTAAAAATAGAAAAACCTTGTTAACACTCTAGCGGTCACATTTTGGCATAAATCATCATCAAACTTTGTCAGGAAGCTTGTCTAGGTGATAGCTCGGATGAGTTCGAAACATGGGTCATCTCTGATGAAAAAGTAGGTCACCGGAGCTAAAAATAGAAAAACCACTTGTTAACACTCTAGCGGTCACATTTTTGCATCAATCATCATCAAACTTGGTCAAGATGCTTGTCTAGTGATAGCTTGCATGAGTTCGGACATGGGTCATCTCGAATGAAAAAGTAGGTCACCGGAGCTAAAAATAGAAAAACTTTGTTAACACACTAGCGGTCACATTTTTTGCCTCAATCATCATCAAACTTGGTCAGGATGCTTGTCTAGGTGATAGCTTGCATGAGTTCGAACATGGGTCATCTCAGATGAAAAACTAGGTCACCGGAGCTAAAAATAGAAAAACCTTGTTAATACTCCAGCGGTCACATTTTTGCCTCAATCATCATCGAACTTGGTCAGGATGCTTATCTATTTTGATAGCTCGGATGAGTTCGAACATGGGTCATCTCGGATGAAAAAAGTAGGTCACCGGAGCTAAAAATAGAAAAAACCTTGTTAACACTCTAGCGGTCACATTTTGCATCAATCATCATCAAACTTTGTCAGGAAGCTTGTCTAGGTGATAGCTCGGATGAGTTCGAACATGGGTCATCTCTGATGAAAAAGTAGGTCACTGGAGAGCTAAAAAACTAGAAAAACCTTGTTAACACTCTAACGGTCACATTTTTGCATCAATCATCATCAAACTTGGTCAAGATGCTTGTCTAGGTAATAGCTTGGATGAGTTCGAACATGGGTCATCTCAGATGAAAAAGTAGGTCACCGGAGCTAAAAATAGAAAAACTTTGTTTAACACACTAGCGGTCACATTTTTGCCTCAATCATCATCAAACTTGGTCAGGATGTTTTGTCTAGTTGATAGCTTGGATGAGTTCGAACATTGGTCATCTGGGATGAAAAACCTAGGTCACAGGAGCTAAAAATAGAAAAATCTTGTTAAACTGTAGTGGCTACTGTTTTGATCCAAATATCCTGTAAAATTGGTCGAAAGTTTGTTTGATGATTTCTAAGTCAAGTTCGAACATGGGTCATCTTGGATGAAAAACTAGGTCAAAACGCCCAAATATTAAAAATTTTTAATTCTAGTGGTCAAATTTTTCGACTCAATTTTCATCAAAATTGTCAGGATGTTGTCTAGGAATTGTTTGGGGATGATTTTGAAATGCATGTGAAACTAGGCAGGACTAAAAAAAAAAAATCTTGTTAAAACCCTCATTGCTACGTTTTTGATCCAGTACCCGGAAAGGTCGAAAGTTTTTTGAGATTTCTAGGTCTTTAAATTTGGGTCACCTGGGTAAAAAACTGGGTACACTCTCAAATAGGATAACCTTTTTAAATTAGTGCACATTTTGACTACTGTCATGAGACTTGGAAATTTGTTTGTCTGGGAAATTTGGGGGTTTGGTTTTGATGGTCAGGTGACGATCTAGGGCCACATGCCCCTTTGTTTTTTTTTTAAGGACCACACATTGATTTGTTCCATCTTAAATGTTTATTGAAACACTTTGCACCCGTCTATATACTATTTTTGGCACACACGGTGCCCGTGTTAAAACATTTCAAGCTCATTTACGGAAACTGCAGCCACAGGGGCCTAGTGATAAAATTTGAGCAACCAAGGCTAACTACATGTGAAAGTGTTAAGACTTGAATGTGCAGGGCAAAAACATTTTGCCACAGAAGATATGGTAAAATCTTTCGGGATTATTCTTGAAAGATGTCTTTTATCTTACCAGAAAAGTTGTGCCTTGCCATGATATTTTTTTTTGTTTGTTTTGGGATTTTCAGGGCAAGATGACTGGTTCGATCTCAATGAAAATTGTCTCAGGGGCTAGTAGGCTTGTCACACTCAGAGAAAGTAAGGTAAGATTAAAGGTCAAAGTGTTTTTTTTTTTGCAATTTATTTATTTTGATAAACAATAATGAGCATTTAATGCGAGCCGCCATATTTAGTATTTTTCTCAAATAATGACGTCACAGTGGGAAGCACCAACCCACGTGACATAAATTTACTAAAAATAGTTGTTGCCGAAACAGGAACGCGGTTTTGGGTTTAATATCCAACATTAATCGGTTTTTATTGGTTCATATTATTTTTAAGCTCGACTTTTTTTTTTTGAAAAAAGTAGAGGTATCGTTTATAGTCGGGTCGGCGTTGCCGTTGCCGTTGCCGTTTGCAAACTTGTACCTGGATCATAACTTTTTTATTTCTTGGTGTATTGTCTCTTTATACTTGGCCACAAACAACCCTTGGACAAGACCTTTCAGTAGACCACAATAACCTTGACCTTCATCCATAAATGACCTTGACCTTCAAGGTTAAAAGTCCAAATTTTGCTTGTTCATGCTGTTATTGGCTGTAACTTTGTTATTTTTGAATGGATTGTCTTCAAACGTGAACATAATAATCCTTAAAGGATATCCCTTAAAAATAACCTGACAGACCTTGACCGTCACTCATAAATGACCTTGACTTTGAAGGTCAGATTATTGAAATTTTCATGTTTTTGACTATTATTGGCTGTAACTTTGTTATTTTTGAATGGATTGTCTTCAAACTTGAACATAATAATCTTCAAGGATAACCCTTAAAAATAACCCGACAGACCTTGACCTTCACTCATTAATGACCTTGACTTTGTTTTTGGCTGTAACTGGCTGTAACTTTGCTATTATTGAAGGGATCAACTTCATATTATAACAGAACATACTTAAGGACAATACCTTGTTGTTTTTTATCGTGACTTCACCACGTGACTCCACCACGTGACTCCACCACGTGACTCCATCACGTGACTCCACCACGTGACTACCATATGACTCCGACACGTGACTTCACCACGTGACTCCACCACGTGTATCTATTTATAGAATTTTCTATTTATAGAATTGTGTGTTTCTATTTATAGAATTTTCTACTTATAGAATTGCGTGTCTCTATTTATATATATATAAATTAGTATACTTATATATAAAAAATATATAGACAAACCTAATATGACAAGACAGAATGATTAATTTTATAAAAAGGAAACGTTAAGATTTTGTTCAAACATTTCTTTGAAAGATGTCTTTTATCTTACCAGAAAAGTTGTGCCTTGCCATGATATTTTTTTTTGTTTGTTTTGGGATTTTCAGGGCAAGATGACTGGTTCGATCTCAATGAAAATTGTCTCAGGGGCTAGTAGGCTTGTCACACTCAGAGAAAGTAAGGTAAGATTAAAGGTCAAAGTGTTTTTTTTTTTGCAATTTATTTATTTTGATAAACAATAATGAGCATTTAATGCGAGCCGCCATATTTAGTATTTTCTCAAATAATGACGTCACAGTGGGAAGCACCAACCCACGTGACATAAATTTACTAAAAATAGTTGTTGCCGAAACAGGAACGCGGTTTTGGGTTTAATATCCAACATTAATCGGTTTTTATTGGTTCATATTATTTTTAAGCTCGACTTTTTTTTTTGAAAAAAAGTAGAGGTATCGTTATAGTCGGGTCGGCGTTGCCGTTGCCGTTGCCGTTTGCAAACTTGTACCTGGATCATAACTTTTTTATTTCTTGGTGTATTGTCTTTATACTTGGCCACAACAACCCTTGGGACAAGACCTTTCAGTAGACCACAATAACCTTGACCTTCATCCATAAATGACCTTGACCTTCAAGGTTAAAAGTCCAAATTTTGCTTGTTCATGCTGTTATTGGCTGTAACTTTGTTATTTTTGAATGGATTGTCTTCAAACGTGAACATAATAATCCTTAAGGATATCCCTTAAAAATAACCTGACAGACCTTGACCGTCACTCATAAATGACCTTGACTTTGAAGGTCAGATTATTGAAATTTTCATGTTTTTGACTATTATTGGCTGTAACTTTGTTATTTTTGAATGGATTGTCTTCAAACTTGAACATAATAATCTTCAAGGATAACCCTTAAAAATAACCCGACAGACCTTGACCTTCACTCATTAATGACCTTGACTTTGTTTTGGCTGTAACTGGCTGTAACTTTGCTATTATTGAAGGGATCAACTTCATATTATAACAGAACATACTTAAGGACAATACCTTGTTGTTTATCGTGACTTCACCACGTGACTCCACCACGTGACTCCACCACGTGACTCCATCACGTGACTCCACCACGTGACTACCATATGACTCCGACACGTGACTTCACCACGTGACTCCACCACGTGTATCTATTTATAGAATTTTCTATTTATAGAATTGTGTGTTTCTATTTATAGAATTTTCTACTTATAGAATTGCGTGTCTCTATTTATATATATATAAATTAGTATACTTATATATAAAAAATATATAGACAAACCTAATATGACAAGACAGAATGATTAATTTTATAAAAAGGAAACGTTAAGATTTTGTTCAAACATTTCTTTGTTTGCTTTTAGAGAAAGTAAAAAGTCGAGCGTTGCCCCCGCCCGGCGGTGGCTCTTGTTTTATTCGTTATCATCAAACTTATATAATATAATTCAGTTAAAGAAATCATTTTGTACAGTATCTAAGATTTTAAGCGGATAATGTAAAAGGTAGGATCCTACGTCATTGCACACCTGCAAAATGCGGTAATGGAGAAATAAATTATAGTATACTAATACACTTTCCGTTAATTTTGAATTTAAAACAAAAGTATTGGATGACATGTTGTAATCATTACGTGTTATTATATTTGTTTTGAGATGAGAGTGCGGGCATTCTTTGATTATAATCCAATCAATGACGTCTTGAATCCATGTCCCGATGCTGGCTTGAACTTTTGTCGAGGGGAGGTCTTGCACATTGTGAGTCAAGACGACCCCTGGTGGTGGCAAGCACGAAAGGAGGGGGAGCTAACTGGTAAAACCGGACTCATACCTGCGAGGCAGCTTCAAGAAAGGTTTGATCTTAATTGAGATACTTAAAAATGAAAATAAGGTAACCAAATAGTAGGGATTGAAGCTTAATGTGAAGTTAATTATCAAACCGGAAATGAGTGAAAATACCAACCGTAGCAATTGACCGAGCGTTTTTGTAACACACATTCCACTGAATGACATACAAATTTTCAGTGTTTAACGATTTTTTTATTTAATACAAAATATAACTTCAAAATGTATGTCTTTGGCAAAACGTCCCTATTTTAGAAACTTTAGCACAGTGAAAAGCCACGTATGGATTTTAACTACGTCTGGCGTTTTAATCATTTATGAGTTGCTGTTACAAACGGTGTCTGTCAAATGAGATTGTCAAACCCCTTACGTTTTAAAGGCACATAAAGCCTTTGAAAATAACAACAACAACAACAACAACAACAACAAATACTTTTGTAGAAAGGCTAATAATGTTTTGCCTAACTATAGACTAAGAACTTATGAGTTGCATGTAAATAATTTGTGGTAAAATGTAAATGTAGCTGAATTTTGACGTCCATACAAAATATTTATTCACTGAAACTACACTTATCGCCATAAACACAAAAGAAGCAAATTGGCTCAAGTTTATGCTTTATGGGCCTTTAAGAATACATAACAGTTGTTTTAATTTTTGAGTTTGTATACATTTAAATCATTTTTGACAACGTTTTATTGCTTATTTTAGGACTGAAATGATGAAGCGTTACCATAGCGACGAAGATTTACGTGACTGTACAGGGCGCTCTTCTCGTAAGTCTTTGTTATTTGCCGATTAAGGAGGCACAAATAATTACGACTTTCGTTAATTAGTAAACCGTTTCTTGTTAAAATTCACCGTGTTTTGTAATTTTTGTATTTAAAATTCTAGTCACTCAAATTCTGAAAAACTTACGATCGAAATTGCATATTGTTTCTTGTCTAAATTTGATTTTTGATGTTATATTAGGTGGAACAAGTCCGTGTCGAATTTGCCCTAAAGTTAAAAACCCACCGTGTGTTGTAAACTAAAATTCTAGTTACTCAAAATTTTGAAAACCTATGATCGAAATTGCATACATATTGTGTCTTGTCTAAATTTGATTTTTGATTTAAAATTAGGTGGAACAAGCCCTTGTCGAATTAGCCCATCCACCGTATTTTGTTTACTAAAATCCTAGTTACTCAAATTTTGAAAACTTATGATCGAAATTGCATGCATATTGTTTCTAGCCTAAATTTGATTTTTGATTTTATTAGGTGGAACAAGTCCTTGTCGAATTAGCCCTAAAGTACCTCGATCCCGAAGAATAAAGAAAACAATGTATCAGGCGCAGCACAGTGGAGGTACACCTGAGATCTACCGTAGAGGTATCATCTACCTCTACATGATTTCTTTACATAATATCTTTAATATGTATCTCTACATATAATATGTATCTCTACATGATTTCTTTACATACTTTATTTAATATTTACTTCTACATGATTTCTTTACATAATATCTTTAATATCTACCTCTACATGATTTCTTTACATAATATCCTTAATGTTTACCTCTCATATAATTTATTTACATAATATCTTAAATTTTCTACCTGCTACATAATGTTTTACATAATATCTTTAATATGTACCCTCTACATGATTTCTTTTCA